CGATTTTATATAAACGCATTATTATATAAAATATCGGATATCGTTAAATATTCGACGTAACAGAAGATAATAATATACGATCAGGGCGTGGGCGCATTCATGTTTTGCGACGCTTATTACAACATGCGGGGCGTTGTTATATGGGAAAGTCGATAAACGGTGTCAATGTCGTAGGGTTACGTGTAACTGCTCGTTCGCAGGTAAGGGAGTTTAGTGATTTAGGAATAATTGCGATGCCGGGCGATGATTCGCGTGGGAATGCAACAGGGCACCGTGTTCGATAAGCTCCGCGGAACAATAACAATTAAACCGGCTAACTCGTAATGCCAAAATACAATATAAGCACGAACAATACTGCGCCCGCCAGCGGACGGGCGGGAGGAAGGGTTGAAGGGGAGGGGAGGAGGGAGAGCGGTCGTCCGACAATACCCGCCGTGCTTTCGTCAGACAAAAGCGAGATTCTCTCTCGAAGCGCTCTTCCTTGCGCGGGCAGAGATCGTAAGTCGAGGAAGAGCTTAAGCCGGTCGCGTCTTACTACGCGCTCGTTTTCGGAGAATGCGCGCGAGAAGAGAGAGAGAGAGAGAGAGAGAGAGAGAGAGATCGTAGAATTTAATTAAAATCTACCCGCGACTACTGCTCTCGCACTCTGCGAGCGCGAGCGCGAAACTTTACGTTTTAGCAAAATATTACGAGGGTTGGAGGGGGTGGAAAGGGAGGGAGCGACGACGCTGTGATTTACGAGCGCGCACATTCGCTTTTTCATTATACGATAATTATCAATGCATGATTATTGATACAATTATTTGACAAGCTAATAACGCGGCGTGTGTATGTACGTATCTCCCGTTGCTGGTTATTAATTAATTATTGCGATGCATTAACTATATTATGTTGATGACAATCGCGCTGCCAAAGCCGATTTTCGTCGCCCGAAACTTTTGCCGCAAAATCCCGGCAATATGGACAAATTCCCGGCTTATTTCCACCCTCGCTTGCGCGAATATGACACGGGGGAAGGAAGAGGGTAATTTCTTCATTCGGGGTTTTGCGTGTTTCGCGCGAGATTCATCTGCGCGGTCTCCCAGGATTTTTTTCAAATCAAATGCAGTTAATGCAATGTCGCAACGCGTGCAGCCTCCGACGAAAAGTGGTGGTTGTAATGCAGTGATAAATCTAGAAATTGCGCGATGCACAAAACTGCGTCATCGGCTTTAAACAGCGTGCACGCGTCGAGAGAGGAAGAGAGAGAGAGAGATACTCGCAACCGATGGGACGGTATAAATTTAATATTTTTTATTCGCGCGTTTCGATCACCGTGAGATATTAGCCGAGAATCACGATGGGAAAACAGGTGGAAGAGTTTGCCGCTCGTTAATACCGTATGATGGGATTTTATAATTCATTGCCCGCGTTTCGATTTACTCGATTTGTGGTCCTCCCTACTATTGTTTGAGAAAACACTATTTTTTATGATATCAGATGATTGCAGATGAAGTGTGATTGTATTAGCGTGACTCTATAATTTTCATAATATCTACATGTATTTAAAAAAATATTTGAGAATCATTTACTTAATACTTAATAATTTTTCTGTTCGGGTCACTTGTTGTAAATTTACATTTTATCACGCGAGTATTAAATACAATGTAGAAATTTAAATTACGTTATTTAATCCTCTCGGAATAAAATTTTACATAACATGTAATATGTATAATTATAAGCACATTAATAACATAGATTTTTTAAACGTATCATTTATTTTCTATAAACTTTTTTTATTTAATAATAAATGAGAGTCGAAACTATGCATGTCAGATCCCTTGATGGTATCAAGAACATTAGCATATAAATTAAAATTTTCACTTAATTATTATAGAAGTATCGTGAAAAGATATCATAAAAGGATATCAATATACGAAAACCAACAATAATATAGTCTATCAAGGACTAAATTTCCATACCTAAACGCACAAAGAATTCGTCCGATCGCGTATTCAAGGCCTTCATTATCGTCGCGTTTACACGTCCTCTCGTCAATGAGTAATCCGCACTTCCGTATTGCGATACAAACTAGGGAGAGAGAGAGAGAGAGAGAGAGAAACCGAGACATTTTCACCCTTAGAGACGAGTGCTCAAGCCATGACTTCTACCTCGGGAGCGTATGATTAAACAACTCAGGTGTTTTATGCTCGACTCGTGGTGATCGCGTGACCCAACGGCCACATCCGTTTCCGCCGTTGCGTTCGGTCACAACCGCTTCGACCCTTAACCAATGGTTTGCCTTAAGGGTTGCACGTTAACATCGACCGCGAAAGAAAGCTATACTTTTGCCGACATATCTTTAAGCCGTAATCGGCTCCGCTCGATAGTCACGCGCCGACGAGGAGCTACCTGCGTGAGCTGTTAAATTTTACTTTTATCCAACTACATCCCGCGACAATTTTGTTTTCACGTCCTGGACGTAAGGACATCCTGAGTTTGAGAATCGCGTGAAATAATAGCTTTTAACGACGAAAATAAAAGGGTACATTTCCTGACAGAAATCACAGCTGAGTTTTATAACTTTATATTTGATTTATGATATTAATGGCAAATTCTTTGACTTGAATCTAGAAGTTTTTCTTTTCGAGAATATTTATATATTATTTTTACAACAGCGAAATAGGAAATTTGTAATATTCGATTATAACATAGAAATAAAAAGTCTTTGCAAATTAAACATTATGGCTATACATACAAACATAAATGATAAACATACATAAATATAATACTATAAATCATATTCATCGATAAATAAAGACAGAATTTATTTTAACTAGATTTGAAATTTAGTTTATATATACTTATGCAATATTAAAGATTAAAAAAACCAAATATTAAATCACAATATGAATAAAATATAACAATATAAATAATGTTCTTGGAAAGGAAAGAGAGATGTTTTTTTTTTGTTGAGAAAATTTAGCACAAAAGAATCTGTCATTAAATTCTAACGGTACAACACTCTGCATATAGTCATATGTTTTATAACTTTATAATTATATAATGTGGTCTGTGTTAATTTATGGAAACATACTGACACGTATACGAAACTCGCATGTTCCTCTCTTTGAATGGATACACGAGCTCGATGTTTCGGTCTCGTGGCCCGAGTCAATTCAGAGTAGAGAGCCGTAGGGTGCAAGAAAGGTCGGGCAAATGTCGAGGAGTGACATTATATTAAATACGAAATGCCATCGACCCCTTTCAAGTTGTATAAAAGAGCGATTCCATCGTTTCCTATCGTTTTCCAATTGACGTAATTTATTTTTTCCTGCTTTTATCTATTTACGAAATTTTTTTATATGTATTATGTATAATAGAATAATAAAATTTATATTTAAATTATAAGAAATATCTATATACATACAGTAGCGAGAGAGAGAGAGAGAGAGAGAGAGAGAGAGAGAGAGAGAGAGAGAGAGAGAGAGAGATAAAGAGTATAATTATAATATTTGAAATATAATTTAAGTTCAATATCGGAAATCAATTTATTTCATTAAATTAAATAAATAATTGCATTGTGTTCGGTTCTTTTACAAAAATTAAAATTCAAAATTCGAAACTGCATACATTTTCTTTTTCTTGATTCTTGACCGAGGCTTTTTTTATAAATTTATTTAAAATAAATAAAATATTAATATTTCTCTCTATATATGAATGTCTCTAATTAACAGATTATAATCTGGCCACCAAAGAATTAATCACATATATGAAACAGACGCTTTTGTTAACTAGCTGGGCCAAAGAGTTGTTAGCACCGAATGGTTGAACTGTTTTGGACAACCAAAGACACGAGAGAGTATAATTAATTCGGCCATTCGGCTTTATCGCTACGCTATTATGCTCGGACGTATCTCGCCAGGCAGATATATTCGGTTTGCTCTCCCTCCGGATCCGCGAGTTTTCCGAGAAATTAGTCGGCATGATTTGCATCTGACGTGCACCTCGGGGCACCCACACGTCGCTCGCATAGTTCGCAACTTTGACTTTCCTAGCCGCTCTCTCTCCCTCTCTCTCTCTCTCTCTCTCTCTCTCTGTTTCGCGAATGTCTTCGAATACCGTCGCATCTACGTTGGAAGCCCTCGTGTCAATTATGCTCGTCAAGAACAGGAAGCGTCGAGCATATTCTTCTTGTTCTGCGACATTGAACCTTCTCGAAAGTCTCGAGTTAGGGGAATCTAACCATCGTTTTACATCAACGAGCGACGGAAGTTGCTCCAGAATCTACGACCCTTAATTTCGTCAAGAACAATAATTATTCATCAATGAGATATTTTCTTTCTTGTATTTATTCTTTATAATATTTATTATTCTCTCACTGAAAATTTCGACGACCACTTTAATAGTATATTCCTAGTATTAGAAAATTTCTAAACTTGGGAAATGTGCAGGAAGATATCACGTCACGCTTTCGCCGAAAATCTTGTATGTAAAGATATGGAAATTTTCCTTCTCGCGGCTTCGCAAAAGCCGTGACTCGCGGGGCTCTCGAGTTTTGCGCGTCGATTATCTTCATTCGGCAGATCCGAGCTGAGATGTTTCGAGTCCGGCTTTCGAACGAGTCTCGGCTTAACTCGGTTGTTGTGAATAAGTAAGCGAAGTGTTGCGAAGTGCTGCAGAAGTTGGGCAAACCCTCGACTGGGGTGGCTCGAATTAAATTGTTATACGGATGAGCTGCCACGAGGAATACTCGAGCAAGCGACTTTGCCGACGTCGGCGCCGCCGGGTGTGAATGTTTAATTACCGGCTTTCATTATTGTTAATAAAATAATAGCGCAGCCGGAGAGGGTCCGTGGAAACGAGACCGCACTTGACGAAATCGCACCTTATCATTTCGCTGACATTTCTACCGGAATTTTACCAAATATGTCGAATATGATTAATATAGATTCATCTTATGCGAATTTAAATCTCTTTTCCAGAAAATAGAATTATATTACATTCATTTGTTCGCTTACCTATGATTGCATTGTTGACAAGCGAAGCACTCCAAGTGATAAACGTTGGTTCTCGCGCGCATCACCATCTCGAATGCCGGGATAACTTTGCTGCATGCTGCGCAGTGACCGGTATTTCCGAAAAGTCTGTCAAACAAACAACAGAGAAAAAATTATCATTGCCATTTCAAATATTTCGTGATTATGCGCTCGGTATTTAAATATACAGATCGCATCAATTAAATATTTCTAGCTCGTTGAAATTTGTATTTCATACTGAAAGCCTTACTGAAAATTCTTAATAATAAATATATTATTAAATAATTATTACTTAATGTTAAATATATATTATTACAGAATAATGTGATGAGAATTTGTCGGAACTTTGGGAGTTTGTGACTATTATACGGAAAAAGAAATCCTTCGTCTCCAAAACGATAGCGAAACTTTCGCCCTGCGCGTCGCGAGAACCAATAAGCTTACGAGCACCACGAATATGCCGTCTTCAAATATTGGGCCATTAATAAAGGCCACAATGTTTCGATGTGGTGCGTGTTCCTCGTGCGGACGCGCCACCTGCGCGCATTCCCTCGGGACTTTGTAATCTCAACACGGTTTATTTGCTCCCGCTTGTTTATATGGGATGTGGATGTATTCAATAAGAGAAACTCATCTGTAAAATTCGATTTGTTGCCGCCGCTTTCCTCCATTTTCTCTCTCCTCCATCCCGATCGTGTCCTTTATCCCGCTTTTTATCAATCTGTCTATCTATCTACGTTTACTCTGACTCGTCGACGCAAGACGCGCGCGATGAATCTGAGAAAATTCTTCCGAAAACAATTTTGCGAGAAATGGATTAAATTCTTCTTTTTTTGTTCGCTACTCACCGTAAATAATCTCGTTTACAAAGGATGAGATTGGCCTTGGTATAAAGCGTCGAGCCGACTTCGCCGAGCCTGCAGTCGCAACATCCGCATTTCAAGCAGTCCTCGTGCCAATACATATCCAACGCTTTCAAAAGATACCTAATTAAAAGAAAATTTATAATAGTGTTTATATAAAAAGTAGAATCTCTATTTCTCTAAATGTTTTAAAAATATAATATATTATATGTTGATGAAAAAAAGATTATGAAACTAGTAACGTATATTTAATATAATTGAGATTAGAGTCTTTTTTTTATTCTTGAAAGTTAATTGTACAATAATTCAGAAATTGAACTTTATTGTGTTCTATAATCGCTGATTTAATTTTCGTTGAAATATTAAGTTGTGAATTTATAAACGAATTTATTCTCCGTGACTAACCTTTCAAAAATGTAAAAAACGCGTTTAATTCATTTTTCGTGTATTCGACGATCTCGGAGAAAAGATAGACTAAATTAAGTAAATCGTTCTTACAATCAGTATGTTTTCGAGAGATATATATGTTAATATAGTAATTAAGTAACATATATATGAAACATTATCACGCAATGAGAAAGCACTTACTTTCTGTAATCGCCTTTCCCAGCCCGCGCATTCTTGGGAGTGGCCCCGTTCTTGCCGACTCGCTCTTGCTCCCATCCATAGTCATTTTATCGCTGAAAACATGATGAAGAAATGCTTTGCTTAATCTTACAATTAGTTATATAAACGCGGGGTTGAAAGTTTGACGTGTCTTGTAAATTTACATCTAATATATTTAAAAAAATCTCTATTTAAATTAGAATAATTACTATTACTAGATTATTCAAGAGTTTTGCTCCGAATAGTTAATTATTTAATTATTTACGGCATTTTTCTCTCGATCGGAAACTCGACCGAGCCGTCGGATCGACTTTCGGCTACGGTTCGTCGAATGAGTAATCGCGTTGGCGTGCTTTAACAAGTTTCACGGCATCTGGCACTAGAATGTCGGCTTGTCTATGAGTAATAGAGTTACGGATGGAGAATTAACGGCGCGTTAGTGCCATCTGTGTGTCCACCCCGTTCTCCTGAGTGTGTAGCCGTCTCATCCTCACGCGGATCCCTCCCGTAATATAGTCTTCTTCTCGCGATGCGGTCAGAGTTTAGAAATCGAATTAGTTTACATCCCACGCTCTCTTCGCTTATTGCGCGTTTAAGGGTCGACAGGCGACATGGTGGAGACGCCTATCGGCCGCCGGGAATTACGGATTCGTTCATCCCATATATTAGCCAAAATACTTAATGAATCTTATTAAATTTACGATATTCTTAATCAGTAGGATTGTCCGCAGGGAGACAAAGATCGATTTTTTGGAAAAAAGATAGATAAATATAAAATTCATAATATAACTTGGGGAGATGCGCAGCTAGCAGCGGGTAAGGTTGGGTTAGCCACGAGATCGTATTTAATTTATTATAAATTTTTAAGAGCAATAATGCAAAATTTGACTCTTTGTCTCCCTGCTTTATTATATAAAGAATATATTAAAAAATATTTCACGAAGCTACGTAACTTCTTTTTATGTAATATTTGGGATGAACAAATCTCACTAGATCTATACTCATGGGGAAATTTTCGTGGTAACATACTGACAGCTTGACAAGGAGAGAGTATCATTCTATCTTTGTCTCTCTTGCATTTGATATGTGTAAAATCAGTATAAATACAAAAACCAATATATTACGCACACGAATGAGAAATATTTTACATCTGCTCATTATATATAAAAATATAAAAGTAATGCAAATTAAATTTCACATTTATTTATAATAGTATTGTGAGGTAGTAACACATATGGAAATCTTATAAGATAAATGCTGTACATCGATTAGCGTAATATTATGATTACAAGTCGCAATAAATGATTTTGCTAATATATTATTTTGAATAAAAATTTTATAAAAACAAATAAAAATAAAATGAATAAATTTTATTCATTCTTTGTTTTTTTCTATTATTTTTTCTATTATTTGAATAAAAGGCGTATCGTATGTAATAGATAAATAATAATTTATATATATGTATATATTGAAATTAATATATATATATATATATATATATATATATATAAATTTCAAAACGTATAATTATATATTTATATAAATTATCTATCTATTTAATCTATTACACACGATACATCTTTTATTCAAATAATAGAAAAAATAATTAATAGAAGAAGAAAACAAAGAATGAAGAAAATTTATTAATTTCATTTTTGTTTTTATATTTTTTAATTTTTATTCAAAATAATATATTAGCAAAATCATTTATTGACTTGTAATCATATTATGCTAATCGATGTACAGAATTCATCTTATATGATTTTCATGTATTAACTACCTCATAATACTAGTATAAATTAATGTAAAATTTAATTTCCATTACTTTTATATTTTTATATGGGATGAGCAAATGTAAAATATTTCTTATCCGTGTGCGTAATTTATATTAAAATATAATTATTATATAAATAATTAAAAAAATATATATAATAAATAATTTATTATATTTATAAAAAAATTTATGTAATAAATTGTCTGTATAATATTTTACTTATTTATAAAATGTATTTTATAAATAAATAAAAAAATAAATGAATTAGATAAATATGATAAATTAGTGAATGTGGTAGGAAATGTCATATTTATTTTTTAGTCAATATATAAATTAAATGTTTATTAAATTTAATATTAATTTAAATTATATATTGATTAAAAATAAATGAATTAGATAAATATGATAAATTAGTGAATAAGGTAGGGAAATAATTTTTTTTCTATAAATTAATTATAAAATTTGAATATAAATAAATTTTTATAAAAAAATTTTTAAAAATTTAAATAATTTTTAATGATTAATTAATATTTAAAATAATTATTTTAATAAAAATTATAATAGATAATTTTATTTATATTATTAATAAATTTAGGTGCCAGCAATTGCGGTTAAACTGATGATAAGAATAAATAATTTTAATAATTTAAAGAATATAAAAAGGAGATTTAAATATTTTTTTTTAATTTTATTTATAGTGAAATGTAATAATTTTAGTTAATAAAAAAAATTTATTTTGGAAAATTTATTTCTAATTAAGTTTAAAAAGAAATTAGGATTAGATACCCTATTATTTAAATAAAAATAAAATTAATTAAATATTAAATGTAAAGCATTAAAATAAAAAATTTGGCGGTAATTTATTATATTAGAAAAACTTGTTGATTAATTTGATAATCCACAAATGGATTAACTTAATATAAATATTTTATATATTGTTGAAAATTAAATTAAGAGATTTTAATTATAAATTTATATTATAAATTAAATTCAAATCAAAATGTAGAATTATTAAGATTTAGATGAGTTATATTGAAAAATATTTTTTTGTAAATTATATTTAAATTTATTATTTAAAAAGGATTTAAATGTAAATTTATAAAAATTTATAAGTTGAATTATATTTAAATTATGTACAAATTGCCCGCCGTTCTTATTAATTATGATTTGTAAGAAAAGTCGTAACAAAGTAAATATATTGGAAAATGTATTTAAATAAAAAAAAATTTTAGTTTATTTAAAAATATTTTATTTACATTGAAAAGATTAATGATTTAATATGATTTATTAAAATTAAAAAAAATTAAATTTAAATATTTATGAAAAATTTAATATGATTTGTGTGTGTGATTATTTTAATTAAATAAAATTATAATAAAAAATTAAATAGAGTTAGTTTTTGAATTGTTGAAGTATTAAAAAAAATTAAATAAATATTATAGATATAAGTAATGTAAATGAAAATTTAAAATAAATTAATTAATTAAATAAAAATAAATTTATTAATTGTACCTTTTGTATCAGGGATTATTAAATTTTGTTGTTTATTGGAATAATTTAAATTTCTCGGAATAAAATGAGTTAAATAAAATATTAAAGTTAATGTATAAAAATTATTTTAAATATTTATTTGAAAAAGATATTTTAATCCACTTTTATGATATCTATTTTTTTATATAAATTTAATTTATATATAAATCATTTACAATTAATTAAATTAATAATAAAATTAATTAGTAAATTTATGTAAAAAATTTATGGAATTAACTATAAATTATAATTAAAATATTTTATGAATATAAATGATTTAAATAGAAAAATATTTTTATTTTTAAAAATTTTTTATAAAAATTTAATAATTTATTATGGAATGGATTATTCTAATTTAAATATAATAATAATTTGAAAATTTGATTTAATTAAATAAAAAATATTTTAAATAAATTAAGTATTTTAATAAATAATGATAGTATAAGTATATTTATATTAATTATATAGAAATTTTTAAATTTAAAATATATATGTATATATAATTAAAGAATTAGGCAAATTTATTTATTAAATTAAAATTTTAATTTACTTGTTTAACAAAAACATGGTTTTTGATAATTTAAAATTATTTCTGCTCAGTGATTTTTAAATAGCCGCAGTATATTGACTGTGCAAAGGTAGCATAATCAATTGTTTTTTAAATGAAAACTGGAATGAAGGAATTGATGAAATTAAAGCTGTTTCAATTTGTAGATTTAAAATTTAAATTTTAAGTTAAAATTCTTAAAAGAAATTATGGGATGAGAAAACCCTATTGAATTTAATATAATTTTTAAATTTATTTAAGGAAATAAATTTATTTTAATGATTATATTTATTGGGAGGATAATTAAATAAAATAAACTTTAATTTAAAGATAATTTTAACATTAATTAATGAAATTTTTATAAAGGATTGATTATTAAATTAAGAAAAATTTTTTTTTTTTATAATAATTATTATAAAAATTAATTACCTTAGGGATAACAGCGTAATATTTTTAGAAAGATTATATTAATAAAAATGATTGCGACCTTGATGTTGAATTAAAATAAAAATTAAATGAAGAAGTTTAATATTTTAGTCTGTTCGACTAATAAAATTTTACATGATTTGAGTTCAGATCGGTGTAAGCCAGATCGGTTTCTATCTATAATAAAATTAAGAAAATTTTGTACGAAAGGACTTTTTTTCAAATTATATTTTTTTTAAT